AGCGTTCCTCCGGCGGAGCCCGCCCCGCGGCTGAAGGTGAAGCGGCAGGTAAGGGCGCGCAGCGGGGAGGGCTGGGGAGTGCCGGGCAGAACCTCCCCCGGCTGAGCCCTGCGGCCCGGTGGGGGCCGGCCCGGGGCCCGGGAGGAGGATCTCCGTGCTGGAAGGGAGAACCGGAGGCACCGGCGGTCTTGGGAGGCTGCCAAGCTGCGATCCAGCCATCGCACCTCAGCGCTGCTGTTGCTCCGAGCTAGAAAGCAAAGCGCAAAGATCAGGTTCAGTGCTTTGGAATCCCTGGAAAACTCCCTTTCCTTTCTTTTTACCCTGCTAAGGCGCCCGTTTTATGTGTTTTTCTCAGATCCTGACCCTGGAGAGAAAAAAGCGGATCATGAGCAGTTCCTAAAGCCACCTGGTGAACCCCCTGTTAGCAGGACCAGTCCCTCAGCAGCTGCGAGGAAAAGATCCCAGGAAAGTCCCAGCCATAGGAAAAGCCCCCTCAGACGTAGTCCCAAGAGGCTGTCCCCCTGGAGGAGCAGCCCCAGGAAAGACCATACCCCGAGTTCCTTTACCTTGTCCCCGACACTGCTCAGCAGCCCTCCTCAAAACAACCGTCGCTCTTGGTGTCGTTCCAGCCTGAAAGGAACAAAACAGCGAAAATCTCTGCCTCCCTTTCACCAGGATGTCACTGGTACGTGTTCCGCTTCTCCCCTTTATCAAGCTCTCCTGAGAAACTTGTCGGGCAGCCTGCGGCACGTTGAAATTTAATTTTGTGTGTGCCACCTTGAGGGTGGTTGCAGCATCATTGTGTTATTCTAAACACCACTGACATCCGTGTTGGTGGTGGCCTCGAAGGTCCAGGGACTTGAAGTTAGAAGGAGATGCTGCACTAACGGCTTCTGCAGACCAGTGGTTTGTTGTCTCTGCCTTTTTATTTCTACAGCTGAGCCTTAAGCATGACTTTTCCTTGGTAGGAACTTTGTTTCTGCCTCTTTTCCTTGCTTCTTCCATACTCTGGCAACTGCGCTGCTGTACAGCAACAGCTTTTAGTGTCTTTCTGGAACATTTCAGCTGTTTGTAGCTTGGTGTGAATGTAATTGTACTTAAATAATTTTATTCTTTTTTTTTTTTCAGAATTAAGCAAATCAATTAGCCTGGATCTGCCAGAGCTTGACAGGCTTTCTGTGCTGCTGTTGTCCAGTTTCCAGGTAAGATCCTCTCTTTTAGTGAATTATTTTCCTCTTGCCTTCCTTCTGCCACTAAACATGTGTTCTGATTTGTATAACTGAGCTGTGAAAGGTGGGCTGGGGAAGGAAGGACTCCTCGTTCTGTAACTAATCCTCCCACAGCCTTTGTCACAATCTCAGGAAAGGGTGCTAAGACCTTTTTTTTCCATCTTCTTTTAGTTTTCTGCACAGAAGCTTGAACACATCTTGAAGCAGACAGAGGGCTTTAGCCCTGAGGCTTTCAAAGCTAACGGTAAGGTGTGGTCTGTGAGTCAGCAAGGGTAATCCTCTATTTAAAAATACTGATTCTTCCCCATTATCCTCAAAATGGAACCAACTGTTGTTTTCTAGAAGGGGTGGGTGCAGGTAAAATTACACCAGTGATGTTTTTTAAGATGATGCACGTGACCACAGTTTCTGGGAGGGAAGGCAAATGGGTAAAGTAAACCGTGGCCACGGAGATGAAGATTATTCCTTTAGAAAGAATCTAAGCAGTAACTAGGACACCTTCCGATAAGGAATCAGAGCAGTAGCTGCAGGTCAGGAAGCAGCTTCATTTCTCACTAATTTTCCAAGTGGTGTTTTATCCTGTTTTATTTTGTCTTCATCTCCAGCACGCTTGCTTTCAGAAGACCTGGAGCGATACCTGCAGAAGTTGAAAAGAGATGGGACGCTGAAGAGCTGCATAGAAGACCCTAATGGGTAAGGACTGGCCAAGCTCATCCCTCGTGGAGCATAAGCAGGGAGTCATCTCGCTTTTGAGGGAGGAAAGGGCAGCCTGGACACAGAATTCATCTCCTGCCATGTACAAGGAGCCCTCTGCCAGCTTAAACCCTCCTACCCCAGCTGTGCCAAAACGTTCTGGGTTAGTCTGAAGATTTGAATTAGCTGGCTTCCCTCTTCCAGGAAACTATAGCAGAAGTGGTGAGGAAGGGCTGAGGGGAGGTGTGCTGGAGATTGTAGTGGAGTAAAACTTTTAAATGGGAAAGAAGTGATGGTGTCGTAGAATGATGGAATGATTGGCAGGGGGAGGGGGGAGGGTGTTCAGCCTGGGGAGGAGAAGGCTCCGGGGAGACCTTAGAGCAGCCTCCCAGTGCTTCAGGGGGCTACAGGAAAGGGGGACGGACTCTTGATCAGGGATAGGGTGAGGAGGAATGGATTTAAGCTAAAAAAAGAGATTTAGACTCGATCTGAGGAGGAAATTCTCTGTGCTGAGGGCAGGAGTCCCTGGCACAGGCTGCCCAGAGCAGCGGGCGATGCCCTGGGGCCGTTCAGGGGGCTCTGAACACCATTTTTAAGGTCCTTCCCAACCCCACCCCATCCCATGATTCTATTTTTCTGGTTTTGCTTTACAAATTTGAAGAGAAACCCCATTGCTGATGGCTATGAGGATTTTTGGGGCTGGGGTCGCTGGACCACCAGCACAGTGAATATTACCTTTATGGAGGAGACGTTTCTTTTGTACATCCTGCAATTCTAAACACTTGCACGCTGACCAGCTCGTGTGATCCACCTGTGGAACGTGTACAGACGTGGTAAATGTGTCCCTGTACCGTGCTGAGGCTGTGTCTGTGCTTCAGGGTTTTACTGGACACGGCTTTGGAAGACTCAGTGGCCCAAGTGAAGGAATACAGTGCCAGGTAGGACCGGCCATCTGCACGGCCTGAGGGGCAACCCTGCCACGGGCTTGGGCACCTCTCCCTAGAGGCTCTTTGGGGGGGTATTTAATCCTTTGGGGGAATATTTAATTCTTTTGAGGAGTTATTTAATTCTTGAGGGGTGTATTTAATTCTTTGGGGGAGGTTATTCTTTTGGGGGTTATTCTTTGGGGGGGTATTTGATTCTTTTGAGTGGGTATTTAATTCTCTTGGGGGGATATCTAATTCTTTTGAGGGGATATCTAATTCTTTTGCGGATTATTTAATTCGGGGGGGGGGGGGGGGG